GTGCCTATTCTAAGGAGCCAGGAAAGACCCACAGTGGGTGAGGTGTCTGGTACAAGTGCACCAGGAATTCTGGGAGTTATACAAGCAAAAATAAGAACAGGGTGTGTGTTTGGGTGGAGGAAGAAAGCTTGGAGGACAGCTTAGGCAGCAATCAGTACATACACGGATGCAGAGGGGACGTGATGCGATACCCAGGAGTAGCGTATATTTAGAAAGACTGCAAACCACCAGTTTTGCATGAGATGTATAGATTTTCAAGGGCCCAGGTGACTCAGAATTCCTGCAAGAAGACTTACTTCCCACCCCAACAGCCTGTCCCAGGGTGTAGCAGTACTCGGAAGGCCTAACAAAAAGATCTCTATGGGTGGAACTCGTCTGTTAAGCTCCCAGACCTTTCTCCCGCCCTTTCCTCGGGAGATGCAGAAGCACCCACTGCTGAGGTCAGCGACCCTTGCTGCGCTGACATCACTTGGGGACCTTTTCAAAAACACCGGTGTCCGCCTTCTACCCCGCCCTCCTTCCCCAAGACGTTCTGATTTAATCGGCCTGGGTGCTACATGGGCATCAGGAATCTTTAAAAGCTCCCCAGGCGATTCTACCATGCAGCAGAGCTGATGGGAGAGACCTTGGACTCTGGCTTCGGTCGGCTTGGGCTCAAACGACCCGCGATGTTACCCTGGGCAAGCAAGGCGCCCGTCTGCTCGGCTGCCCGTCAGCGAGATGCGGATAACAATCCATCTCGCAGGGCAGTTGCGAAGTTAGATGCGGTGAACTACATGGCCTGGCTCGATGCCTGACGGAGAGTAAATGCTTCGCAAGGGCTGGCTGTTTACTCTCAAGCACCAACTCTTCCTCGTCTGAGCGTCACCGTGCAATGGGCAGCATCGTCCCCACTGGGCGGCTTCAACTCCACCAACCCTTCCGCTGGACCAAATCTTCCCCGAGTTGCGCTCCGCTTCAGACCCGCCCCCTCCCCCAGGTCGCCAAGAGCGCTCTGCCCGGCCGGGGCAGCTCCCAAGGGCCAGACCCGACCTGCACAGACGCGGACCGCGCATAGGCCATCAGCCCTGGAGCCGAGCTACCCCCGGCCCCATGGGTCCTTCCAGAATCCGAGGATGTGCTTCCGAAGGCTGAGCATTTGGAGCTGAGAAACAAGCCTCGGCTGTCCCGGGACCCACTGGAGGGAGGGGAGGGAAGGAGAGGGGAGGGTTCCGCCGCGACGGGGCCGACCGCCCGGTTACCTGAGGCGACGGGCGGGGCCCGCATCGCTGGGGCGGGCGCCGCTGCCGCCGGCCGCACTTGGCCTTCCGCCTCACGCGACCCGCGCCATAGGGCCTGCGCTTTTACTGGCCCTGCCAACCGACCTCAGGAGGTCAGTCTGTTCACCCGTCAGGGACTCTCACAAGGCGCTCAGGGACGACGAAGGCCAGTCGGGCCGGCCGGCTGGGCTCTGCTCAGGCAACTTCCGACTGCCAGGGGCGGCGGCGTCAAATAACTCCCCAGCTGAGTGTGTCACTGCACATGCGCTAGGCGCATAATCAGCGACTTCTACGGAGCTGAGCCGGCAGCGTCAAATAATTCCCGAGACATGGAGCCGGAAGCTGCGCGTGCGCATCCATCCCAGAGGGCCCTGCGGAGCGCGCTCCCTCCTCCCTTTCCGGCTCACAAGTGGAGAGGGAGAAGTGAAATGACGCGAGCACCTACGTCATCGAAGTACGAAGCACGAAGCCGAAGGGGCTGTTTTCGCTGTTCAGGGAGTAAGGGGCTTCTCTGCAAATTCTAGCTTCCCCCCAGGTCCTGGGAGTCTCTTACATTCCAGCGTTACAGCACCCTTGCTTGGGGATGACGCCCTTTCCCCGCCGCGCCCTGGTTCCATTGGAAAGGCATGAATTTTGAGCACCACTCCACGCCAGGCCTGGTGCGAGTTAACAAGGTGAATCAGACATCAGATGTAGAGGTTCTCATGAGAGAGTTGAGCCCGACACAGGAGAGCGGGCACAAACAGTAGGAGCAGGAGGCAGCCTTTTGGGCACCTGCGATGCATCGTTTTGTAAACAGCACCAACCACACTGTAATTTGGTTTCCGCCTCAGCAAAGCAAATAAAGTGCAGCTCAAGGACCTTGGGAGTGTAAGGTGGAGGGGCCAGCGCTGTGGCTCACTTGGTTAATCCTGGCTCCTGGCTTTGGATCGGCGCAGCGCCGGCGGTAGCGGACATTTGGGCAGTGAACCAACGGAAGGAAGACCTTTCTCTCTGTCTCTCTCTCTCACTGTCTATAACTCTACCTGTCCCAAAAAAAAAAAAAAAAAAGTGTGTAAGGTGGAAACCTGGGCTTGAGAGGGATGGTGGAATTATTCGATTGGGAATTCAGAGAGGGCGGGGTCGGGTGTAGTGCTGTAGGCACAGTTTGAAAAAGGCAGGAAGGAGCTAGGACACAGACTCCTTCTCACCCTGGGGAAAGGCCGTGGAGAAAGGAGCGACAGAAAGGATCATGCAGAAGATGTTTCCTCTAGACCGCCCCACCCCCCAGCCCCAGGAAAGTAGCTACAGGAAGGAAGAAGGAAAGGGGGGAGAGGAAGTGTAGACCACTCCGTCTATTCCAACCACCTGTCTCTTGCCCTTCTTCACTACAGAGACTGAAAAGCCAGGCACACAGTCCCCAGCCTCACTGCAGGGCAGGCCGTGAGACAAGATCCTGGCCAAGAAGCTGGGCAGAAGTCCCTTCAAATCAAAAGTCCTTGGAGGAGCTGTGTCCTCACCCAGTAAATGGGTAAAATATGGCTGTGGCATAAAACGAAGACTTGTTGCACGGACTGGACAGCAGGATTTACTACTTGGTGGGGGTTGGTGGAACAGAAATACAAGTGAGATGTTCTTTTTAAAAGTGATACATTCTTTATGATTTTTTAAAGACTTGAGGACTTCACCTAAACTGCCATAAAAATAAAATACACACACACACACACACACACACACCTTGAAGGAAAAATAAAGACTAAAGGATCAGAGAGCTCTGAAACAGGAGTGTGGAAGAAAACGCAGAGGCACAGGAAGTGCTGCCCGAGTAATGCAGTCTGGATTCTTCAGACAGTGCACAAATTAAACCTGTTCCACAGCATGATCTTTGACCAGGAACAGTAAATCGAGGACATCTTCATGGAAACCTGCAATGTCAGAATATCACTCCGTATAGTGTATTTTTGAAAAGGCCTCGCACCTGAAAAAGGAGAACAGTGGTGTAAGTTTTTGTGCCTCTTTTTCCCCCAAAGATCACCACACCAACTTGTAGGACCCGTCCCACAGTTCTTTTTTTTTTTTTTTTAAGATTTATTTATTTATTTGAAAGGCAGAGTTAGAGAGAGGCAGAAGCAGAGAGAGAGAGGCCTTCCATCTGCTGGTTCACTCTCCAGATGGCCGCAACAGCCCCAGCTGCACTGATCCGAAACCAGGAGCCAGGTGCTTCTTCCAGGTCTCCCATGTGGGTGCAGGGGCCCAAGCACTTGGGCCATCTTCTACTGCTTTCCCAGGCCATAGCAGAGAGCTGGATCCATCCCAGAGTTCTTATGATGTAATCAGTGCTCCTGCCACTGAGGAGTGGACAGGAGTCCAGCCTGTGTCTCTGATGGTTCCAGCCAGTAGGGGAAGTGGTCTATGTGACTTCCAGGCCTAGGTCATAAAGAGGATACAGCTTCCACCTGGCTTGCTGCCTAACACAACGCGCTCACCGCTGGAACCCAGCCACTGCGTTGGGAGGAAACCCAAGCCACATACAGCAATCATGTGGAAGTGTTCAGCTGATAGTCCTAACAAGGGCTCAGCTGACAGCATCAATGGCCAGACTTATGAGTGAGGAAGCCATCGACTGATTCCAGTGTCCGGTTTTCCAGCCCATCCTCTACCTGATACCAAGTGGAGCAGGGACAAGCTAACCCTGTTGATACCTGCCCAAGGCTCTGGGCTTGAGCTATATATGTGGGTCTGGGCCTTGGCTCTGTGTTCAGACCCCCTCTGGCTTACTGCAGCCAGGGTGATGTTGGGGAGGGAGGTGTGTATGTGTGTGGCAGGCATCCTCTGCCTGTGTACCCCCACGCCAGCGGGCCCAGGACAGTCACTTGACTCCCTTGGGCAGACTCCACATCCTGTTGTCCGTCTGTCCTCCTGGAGCTCTGAAGCCTATCTCATGCATCTCAGGCTACTATAACAAAAGGCCACAGGCTGTATCATAATCAACAGACATGGATGTCTCACAGTTCTGGGCGCTGGGAAATCTAGAATCAAAGCACACGCTGATTCGGTTCCTGGTGAGGGCTCTCCCCCCAGCTTTCCTTCTCAATGTGTCCTCAGATGGCAGATGGAGGAAGCTCAGGAATATGGGTGCCAGTTCGAGTCCTGGCTGCCCCACTTCTGACCCAGCTCCCTGCTAATGTGCTTGGGGAAGCAGCAGAAGCCCCTGCAGCCATGTGGGGCATCTGGAAGGAGCTCCGGGCTCCTGGCTTCAGCCTGAAACAGCCCCAGCCATTGAGACCATTTGGGAAGTGAACCAATGGATGAAAGATCTCTCTCCCTCACTGTAACTGCCTTTCAAATAAACAAAAAAAAATATTAAAAAAAAAACTAGGAAGAGATGATCTCCTTTTTTTTTTTTTTTCCAAAAAATGTATTCATTTTATTTGAAAGCCAGAGTGAGGAAGAGAGAGAGAGAAAGAGATCTTCTACCAGCTGTTCACTCCCCAAATGGCTGCAACCACTGGAGCTGAGCCAGACAAAAGCCAGAAGCCTAGAACTCCATCCAGGTTTCCCATGTGGGTGGCAAGGGCCCAAGCTCTTGGGCCAAGGACCATGCAAAAGCTATCGCCATGCACCTTGTACACCCTAAGGCTGCCTTGGCTGGTATCCTCCCCCACCCACAGCCTCCTCAAACTCCCCTGAGCCCATTTTCTCCACTCTTTTTTTTTTTTTTAGAAAGATTTTATTTAATAAATATAAATTTCATGGGTACAACTTTTGGAATATAGCAGTTCTTCCCCCCATACCTCTTCTTCCCACCCCCTCCACTCTTGATAGCACCGCTTTCCAGGCAGTCCGGATTGCCAAGCTGGGTCCTCACAAGGCTACACTCATGCCCCAGAATACCTGAATACCCAAACATCCATGACACCCAAAATGCCAGAACACCCACAATGCTGGAACACCCCCAGAGAGCACTAGGATTCCAGAACCCCTGACGTCTGCACGTATGAAAGGCCCGGTTCACATACATGCTTCTGCTCAGAGGCAGGGTGCCCACCACATCGGACAAGCCACGACTGAGGATGGGCTCTGGTCCGAATGCTGTGGGCAGCTTACCCCAGCGTATTGTGAGAGTTCAGTATGTTGCCCCAGTTACTAACTAGGTTGGCCAGTGTCACAAACAGGAAAGTCACCCCAGATAAGCAAAATGCCCACAGTGCCTTGTGCAACAGCCAAATTCGCAGTTTCTTAGTAATCGGCCATTTGGGGCAAGTTAAGGAAAAGACTGGGGCTTTTAGCCAGAAGGTATTGGTACCAGAAACCAAATTGATGCTAATAAGAAGGAGACAGAAAGAAAAATTGAAAAGTTTATGTAATCAAATGAGTGGGAGGGCAAAGGTCAAGGTGAACCTGCAAGACAACGCCAGGGATTGGACTCCAGGACTCCACGTCCTGCGTCCCTGTCTCTCCACATGTGGACTTCTGATGTCATCCTCACTCTAGTTTCCTGCAGATGTGAGAAACGTGGGCTGAGCTTAACCCAAACGCATCTCCACCCATCTTCCCGGGGCACTGCACGCTCACGGCAATCCCGTTCATATCACAGCCTGTGTTGAGAAAAGTTGAGGTGCTGGATACTTGGCTGAGCCAGTGCCACAGAAAACACTTGACCTAAAAAGAATAGTTTTGCAGTACTTGTCTCGACTGTTGAGGAACAGTTTGGTTTTTTTCATACTATTTGTTGAACTCTTTACTTAATCTAGGGTTAATCAAATGTATATAAAGTTAATTGAAAACATATCTTAGTAAAAAATAAGAATGGGAATAGGAGAGGGAGGGAGAAGAAGGGTGGGAGGGCAGGTAGAGAGAGAAGAATCAGTGTTCCTAAAGTTGCACTTATGAAATGCATGAAGTTTATATTCCTTAAATAATAGGTTTCTGGAAAAAAATAAATTAAAAAAATAGTTTTTCCTAACCTGTCCTCTGGAGAAGAGCGTACCATGGCGAGCCCATTCAGAGAGTTCAAAGAATTCCATCCTAACCCCTGCTGATTGGTCTCCCTAATGCATCTCAGGAAAAATCAAAAGCACTGGCTTGTGAAACTGTTGTCTGTCACACTGACTCACATCAGGCACAAGACTTAAACCTAACAGCACAATCCACACAGGGACTGTTACGAGCACAGAGGTGTTCACAGGAACATGGAGGCTACTGAAGAGGGAGGGAGGCATCGCCTATGATACCAGAGCAAACACACTTCAGCTACTGCAATACTTGGCTGGTGGGGCTGGCGCTGTGGCACAGTGGGCTAAGCCTTCGCCTGCAGCGCCCAGCATCCCATGTGGGCAACGGTTCAAGTCCCAGCTACCCTGCTCCCAATCTAGCTCCCTGCTGTGGCCTGGGAAAGCAGTGGATGGCCCAGGTGCTTGGGCACCTGTGCTCATTTTGGAGATCCAGAGGAAGCTCCCGGCTCCTGACTTCAGACTGGCTCAGCTCCAGCCATTATGGCCATTTGGGGAGTGAACCAGTGAATGGAAGACTTCTCTCTCTCTATCTCTGTAACTCTGCTTTTCAAATAAATAAATAAATAAATGTTTAAAAAAATTTTGGCTGTAGGGTGAGGTCAAAATTATATTTCTGTGGGACTTGTTTCACTATAAAAAAGCTATCTTTTCTATTTGGAAATGGCAGCATTCTTTTTTATTTTTATTTGAAAGAGTTACACAGAGAGAGGAGAGGCAGAGAGAGAGAGAGAGGTCTTCCATCCGAAGGTCCACTCCTCAGTTGGCCACAGCTGCTGGAGCTGCACCTATCCGAAGCCAGGAGCTTCTTCTAGGTCTCCCATGTGGGCGCAAAGGCCCAAGGACTTCGGCCATCTTCTACTGCTTTCCCAGGCCATAGCAGAGAGCTGGATCAGAAGTGGAGCAGCCGGGTTTTGAACCGGTGCCCATATGGGATGCTGGTGCTTCAGGCCAGGGCATTAACCCGCTGTGCCACAGTGCCGGCCCCAGCATTCTTTTCAAATTACAAAACAACTGGGGCCGGCGCTGTGGGCCCGGCTTGTGGCACCGGCATCCTACATGGGCACCAGTTCATGTCTGGGCTGCTCTACTTCCGATCCAGCTTCCTGATAATGCACCTCGGAAAGCAGCGGAGGATGGCCTAAGTCCTTGGGCCTCTGCACCCACATGGGAGACCCAGGAGAAGCTCCTGGCTCCTGGCTTCAGATTGGCTTAGTTCCGGCCATTGCAGCCATTTGGGGAGTGAACCAGTGGATGGAAGACCTCTTTTCTGTCTCTATCTCTCTCTGTAACTCTTTTAAATAAATAAAATAAATCTTTGAAAAAAAATCACAAAACTCCTGCCCCACACAAACTAGTGTTGTCTCTACCAGATCTAAATCAAATGTATCATTAAGCCTGGTTTCCTCCAGCACCTCAAAGGAAGGGCGACTTATTTTACAAAGCTAGGACAGGGAATGAACTGCTTCCTTTTCCTTGTAGAGTCAAATATATTCTATTCTGGCCCCTCCGTTATGGTCCCAGCGGTTACTGGGGCCCTGATTCCCTCAGGGTGCTGCAAAAATCTGCAAGAGCTGCTTTCAGAGCCCTGGGGGGCCCTCTCGGCTCCCATCTGCAGCTGGGTGATGAGCCATTTACTTCCTTGCCAATGGGAAATTCTCTCCCAGTGAGAGATCACTGGAGCCTACACCTCCCACACACCTTCATATTTAGTGTTTTCATTACCACTCAGGTCTAGAATTTTCTAAAGCTTGTTTTGTTTTTCTCTGGACTTTAAGTTAGGCCATATATTGTAGTCTGGATGATACTGACATATTGGTATTTGAGACTTGCTTTGCAGCCATAGAAGTTAGCATGTTATGCCACAAGTAATATTTGTAAATATGCAAGCATTATTAGTAAATACTCCAAGTGTGCTTTAAAAATATATTCTTTTCAGTAGATTAAGAATCTTTGTTGGGGCCAGCATTGTGGTGCAGCAGTAAGGGTATCACTTCTTTTTGTTTTTTGTTTTTTTAAAGATTTATTTATTTTGAAAGTCAGAGTTACAAAGAGAGGGAGAGGGGGAGAGGGAGAGGAAGGGGGAGGGAAGGGGGAGGGAAGGGGGAGGGAAGGGGGAGGGGAGCGAGAGAGCTCGAGCTTCCATCCGCTGGTTCACTCGCCAGATGGCCGAAACGCCCAGTGCAGAGCCACCCAAAGCCAGGAGTGGAGCTTCATCCAGGTCTCCCACGGTGTGGCAGGGGCCCAAATACTTGGGCCATCCCCTACTGCTTTTCCCAGGTGCATCAGCAGGAACCCGGATCGGAAGCAGAGCAGCTGGGACACTTAACGGATGCCTTCATCTGTTGCACCCCATGCAGACAACGTCACAGCTCTTCCTGAAGCTCAGCCTGGGTACTAGGCCACCTCCATGAGACCCCTCTCAGCTTTCCACAAGCTCAGGGGACCTGGGATGACTCCTGCAGCAGACACAGTAATAGTAGAAAGGACACTTGATATTTTATTGGCTGAGCCATGGCTTTTTTCCTGTACATGTCAGGTTCAGAAGTTCAACCCTCGACGCTGTTGATTCAGATGGGGACTATTTTAGGAAGACTAGATAATCGGCAATAATTTGAAGCAGATGGGAGCATTAGTAAAATATCCTCATTTCCCGTTCCCCAGTACAAACAGGCATCTGACGGCCTGGTACGCTCATGCTATTTATGAAGTCAGTCTCTCCCTACTCACTACACCAGCACACAGAAACCCAGCTGAGCCCCTTGGCAGGTGTCAGTGAAGTCCCTTCAGTTCTCTGAGCCTTGGTTTTCTCATTTGTAAAATGACATAAAATCAAGTCTACCTCACAGGGTTGTTGTGAAGATTAAATGCAGCCCTTATATATATAGGCTTAATATAGTGCATGGCATCTATTAAAAACTCGATCAATGGTGGCCACAATTAACACCAGCCCTGCTGGTACACCTGCAAAGTAGTAAACAAGGACATGGCGCCGCCTTAACAGATGAGTCTGTCATGATGACATTTTATATTTGTCTTTCACTGTAACTATCAACAAGTTATATATACTCATCATATAAATAATCAACATTTATGGAGCACTCAGCATGAGGCAGTCCTATGTTAAACATTTAACATGCATCATTTTCTTTAATGCTGACCATCTGGGGTAAGTGCTATTCCATGGTCAAATCAGAAACAAGTTCAGCAAGAAGGAACATGCTCCCAGGGTAGGTAGCATTGTGGTGCAACAGGTTAAGCCACCACTTGGGACACCCACATCCCATATGGGGGTATTCAGTTAAGTCCCACCTCTACTTCTTTTTTTTTTAAAATTTTATTTATTTATTTGAGAGATAGAGTACAGACAGTGAGAGGGAGAGACAAAGGGAAAGGTCTTCCATCCATCGTTCACTGCCCAAATGATTGCAATGTCCAGAGTTGCACCAATCCAAAGCCAGGAGTCAGGAGCTTCCTCCTGGACTCCCACATGGGTGCAGGGGCCCAAGCACTTGGGCCATCTTCTACTGCCTTCCCTGGCCACAGCAGAGAGCTGGACTGGAAGAGGAGCAGCTAGGACTAGAACCAGTGCCCATATGGGATGCTGGTGCTGCAGGATTAACCTGCACCATCCACTGGCTCCCCCCTCCCTCCACTTCTGATCCAGCTTTCTGCTAATGTGCCCAGAAGGCAACAGATGATGGCCCAAGTACATGGGTGCCTTCTACTTGTGTGGGAGAAATGGATGAAATTCCTGGCTGCTGGTTTCAGCCTGGCCCAGCCCCAGGCTGTAGAAAGCATATGAACCAGGGCACGGAAGATCTCTCTCTCTCTCTCTCTCAATCTTTCTGGCACTTTGCCTTTCAAATAATAAATAAATCTTAAAAAACAAAACACATTCCAGGCCTTGTAGCAATAGGAGACCATCACAATTCAACAGGTTCTTAATGATTTCCCCAGGTCACCCCCGAGTGCATGGCAGCAACACAGTGCCTGTATTCCTAGTGCGAGGCAGCCACTGGCCACATTCTCCACCCCTAGATTCCCCAGGCGTGTTTTCACCACTGGAGCTCAGGGCACTCGTGCTTTCCCTGCTCTGTCTCCAAGTCCACACCAATCATTGCCCTCTTTTCCAAACCCCCAGCCCAAATGCTCCCTAGCCAATGCAATTCCAACAGCTCCCTTCTCACCTAAGCCTGAGCCCCTAGGTGCACTGGGGCTTGCTCAACCTCTAGTCCAAATCCCACATCCTGTCTCATATTCCCCAGATGAAGCCCCAGCGTTGTGCCAAATGCAGTCTCAATGAGGGAACCCTGGGAGAGCTGACTTATTCTGTCTATACCCAGCTCTGCTGGTGCACGGAGGCACTGTTAAAAAACAAATACACACACACACACAAAAAGCAGCAGGGCACGTGTCAAGTTTTACTGAGGTGGGGAAGAGGACAATGGTGTACAGCACAGGAAGTTCAACAGGAACTCTTTGTTCTAAACAGTTACAACAGCGGTAGGCAGGAGGACACGCAGACTGGCCTTGACGAAGGAAATCCAGTCCTGCTGGTCCATGGCTTCAGTGGCCCTGCTGGGGCAAGGGTCTCCGGCTGAAGGGTCTCCAATCCCGGACCCCCAGTACCCAGAGTCGCAGGGCTTTCCTTCTGTCCCACATACTCAGAGTGTAAGTTGTGCGAGGCCTGGAATGCAACATCGCTCTTCACTCTGCTATGCCACTGTCCATGGTCAACACCAAAATAATCTAAAGGAAAAGTCTGAGGGGGCCAGCAGAATGTTCATCTCAGAGATATGACCAAGTTAGCCTTCTGGCAGTAACTCACCACAAGGACGCCCCCGGGAGCCACCAGGGCCATTATCCTGGGAGAGCCAGTGTCTCTATCCCTTGGGAATTTCTCCCACAATCTCCAGATCCAAGTCCAGCCCCAGAATATGAGGCCATAGAGCAGATCACTACCAGTACTTGGACTCCAATATCATATCTGTTTTTTTTTATTTGAAAGACAGAGAGGCAGAGGGAGAGAGGGAGAGAGGGAGAGAGAGAGAGAGAGAGAGATGCCTTCCAGCCACTGGTTCACTCCCCAAATGGATGCAATGGCCAGAGCTGAGCTGATCTGAAGCCAGGAGCTTCCTCTGGGTCTCCCACGTGGGTGCAGGGGCCCAAGCACTTGGACCATCTTCCACTGCTATCCCAGGCCATAGCAGAGAGCTGGATGGGAAACAGAGCAGCCAGGACTAGAACCAGCACCCATATGGGATGCTGGCACTACAGGCAGAGGAGTAACCTACTGTGCCACAGCGCCAGCCCCTCCTGGTGCCACTTTTTTTTTTTTTAGTGTTTTTAAAAATTTATTTGAAAGTCAGAGTTACACAGAGAGAGAAGGAGAGGCAGAGCGAGAGAGAGAAGTCTTCCATCCACTGGTTCACTCCCCAGTGGCTGGAGCTGCGCCGATCCGAAGCCAGGAGCCAGGAGCTTCTTCTGGGTCTCCCACATGGGTGCAGGGGCCCAAGGACTTGGGCCATCTTCTATTGCTTTCCCAGGCCACATCAGAGAGCTGTGGAAGTGGAGCAGTTGGGACTCAAACCGGTGCCCATATGGGATGCCAGCATTGCAGGCGGTGGCTTTACCTGCTACGCTACAGCACCCACCCCATGGTGCCACTTTTATTTTTCTTTTCTTTTCTTTTCCTTTTTTTTTTTTTTTTTTTTTGACAGGCAGAGTGGACAGTGAGAGAGAGAGACAGAGAGAAAGGTCTTCCTTTGCCGTTGGTTCACCCTCCAATGGCCGCCGCGCTGCGGCCGGTGCACCGCGCTGATCCGATGGCAGGAGCCAGGTGCTTCTCCTGGTCTCCCATGGGGTGCAGGGCCCAAGTACTTGGGCCATCCTCTACTGCCTTCCCTGGCCACAGCAGAGAGCTGGCCTGGAAGAGGGGCAACCGGGATAGAATCCGGTGCCCCAACCAGAACTAGAACCCGGGGGGCCGGCGCCACAAGGCAGAGGATTAGCCTAGTGAGCCGCGGCGCCGGCCCATGGTGCCACTTTTAATTCCAACTTCCTGCTAATGCACATCCTTGGAGGCCACAGGTGATGGGTCCCTTCCACCCAGGTAGGAGACAAGAATTGAGTCCTAGGCTCCTGGCTTTGGCCTGGCCCAGTCCCGGTTATGGCTGGCCAATGACAGATCTCAATCTCCTCTCTCATCTTTCAAATAAATAAATAAGAGTTTAAATAATGAATATTTTTCTGTCTAAAACAGTCCCCTACAGGGCAACTGAGCAGGTGTGTAACTGGCAGAGAGACAGCCGGAGAGCTGGCCCTCAGGGCTCGTCCTGCTGAGGTTCCACTGGCTGGGACCCCCTGCCATGCTATCTTGACTTGCCAGTACAGCTGTCTCCCAGCAGGACGGTCAGCCTGGGCTGACCCCAGTCTCGAAGCCCCATTGCTTGCCGTCCCCTGAATACTTTCCTCTGGCCCTCACAACCCCCCCTCTTTGAACGACCTCTCTAGGCCCATAACCTCCAAAAAGCTGCTTGTCTTGGAACATCTTACGGCAATGATGACATACCGCCCAACACCGTACTTAATCTGCTTCCATCATTTCTTGGACTCCTTCACCCACTAAAGTATCTAAATCTCGACACCGATGCAGCCTGGTCTCTGACAGCAAGACGCCACGCTGAGAAAGGCCAAGCCATGGCAGACTCCTGCTCTCACGGCAGCCTGCAACGCTGGGGCCTGGGGATGCTGGCGGGAGTGTGTGAAAGCGCCAGCATTTGAAAGGGACGGGCGTGGACCCTCCAAACACGGGAAACGGCCTTCAGCACTTCCTTTCCCTGCATCACAGATGACCAGGGCACTGGCAGCCATGATCACTTTTGAATGCAGGTGCACACGAGGGCACAAAGATCCCAGGAGAAGCTGGGTGCCAGCAGCCTGTGGAACAGACTGGGCCCAGGAAAGCAACCCAGGCCAGCACAGGGCCCTGGCATTGGCCCTTGTTCCCAGTAGAAGTCCCATAAAACCTCCCTGCCTTGGGAAATCAAAGAGATGTCCCTTTGGGTAAAAATAATGGGGAAATAGGGTTGGGAATGACAGGAATCATGTGTCAGGTACAAGTCTCCTCCATCACAGCTTTGTTTTTCAAATGAAGACAGTCAGGTTGTAGATGAGTTGATGACTGAGCTACTGGCGGACAGGGACACAAAGCCAGGGACTGGGGCCTTTGATGTCCAGACCACCCATGTTCCATTACCGCTCGCTGCTGCTGACACCCAGAGGGAGGGCAGACCCCGGAGACCTCACATGACCCAAGGAGGGCCCAGCTTTGTGTCGGCAGCAGCTGCTGAAGCCGTGTGAAGGGCCGGAAGCCATCTGGGTTGCCTGGGGTGGGCACTGGATCTGTGGACCCGCAGTACCACCTTCATTTCACCTCTCATCACCACCCCCGGCCCTGGCCACAGGAGCCAGACTGCGCTCAATGCAAGAAAGCAGCACTCAATGGATGAGGGCAGAGATCTTACCTCAAGGAGACTGGGGTCTAGAATGTTCCTGACATTTCAACTCCCATGATGCCTCTGCATACAGTGGACTCACCTGCAACAGACAAAAATCCTTGAATGTGCACCTGGCTTGTCCCTGCTCAGAGCAGGGCACAGTAGTCCCCAGGAAAGGGCTTCACATAGAGGACACAGAGAGCAAGCATGCCACAGATGAGGGCATGAAAAAGGTTAGTTCTCTTTTTTTTTTTTTAAAAAAAGGACCTTTAAAAAATATTTACTTTTTTGAAAGGCAGAGTGACACAGAGAGAAGAGAGAGAGGGAGAGGAAGGGAGACAGAGAGAGAGGGAGAGAGAGATCTTCTATCTGCTGGTTCACTATCCACATGGCTGCAATAGTTTGGACAGGCTGAAGCCATGAGCCAGGAACTCCATCTGGTCTCCTACAGGGGTGGCAGAGGCCCAAGCACTTGGGCCATCATCTGCTGCCTTCCCAGGATGCACTGGATCAGAGGTGGAGCAGCTGGGACTTGAATCAGCACTCCGATATGGGATGCTTGGCACCACAAGTGGCAGCTTCACCTGCTGCGCCACAGCGCTGGCCCCAGCAGTTCTAAATGAGGAGAAGCAGAGGGCCTGCGGCAGGGTGGGTCAGACTGACTAATGTGCAGGTCATCGCAGTAGGCTGAAGAGGAAGCCAAGGCCAGGCGTATGGGAGTGTGCCATGGCAGTCAGTCATGGAAGGAACACACACAGGCTAGTTCCCAACAGTGGGGGCAGGAAGCGAAAGCCCCACAAAGACCAGTCACGCACACACACACACATGGCAGCCCGCACGCTCTGGAGGCCTGAGGAATGTGCAAATGGAGTTGCAGTGTGAGGGCATTCCTAGAGCTGGAAGGCCAGGATACGGCCCCTCCAAACAGGGAAACCCTTTCTGCATCTCCTCTGCCTGCAGAACCAATGACCAGGACACGGACAGCCTGTGGTCACTTACGAATGCAGGGGCAGAAAAGGACAGAGGGCTGCTGAGAAAAGAGGCCAATGGCAGAAGCCCAAACGGTCAGCCAAACGAGCACAAGGACCCAAGAGCCGCTTCTATTCCTACAAAGACTCCTTTCGCGCGGTCCAGACACTGAAGCCAAGGAAGACAGCCCTGGAAGAAAACACATGCAATGCTTTGGTTGCAGGAGACAGGGGCTGACAATGTGATGTTAAGAAAACCTACCTCACTGTAGGATCCTACTTTCTGGAGGGTGACACCAAGGATCTGAGAAGGTCCCCAGGTCAGGAGGAGCAGTGATGTGACAAGACCTGGGTACAAGGGCCGGCACTGTGGCCTAGTAAGTTAAGCCTCTGCCTGCAGCTCCAGCATCCCATATGGGCACCAGTTCGTGTCCCAGCTGCTTCTCTTCCAATCCAGCTCTCTGCTTATGGCCTGGGAAAGCAGTGGAAGATGAGCCATTGTGGCCATTTGGGGAGTAAACCAGAGGATGGAAGACCTGTCTTTCCCTCTCTATGTAGCTCTACCTCTCAAAAGAAGACCTGGGTACGGCGGGATCTGATGCCCAAATCCTCCCTGATTCCAATGCAGACACTGCAGTGCCAACACACAAATGGGAGGAAGGGCTCCCAGCAGATGCTCAGAGCTCAAGCCAGAAGATCCTAAGGACACAAGCACACCAAGGCCCTAGGGAGGGTAAACCGAGGCCAGGAGGAAGCCACCCTCGCTTTGCCTCTCTTTACTTCCCAGGGACATGGACACATGTGTGCACCACGCAAAGCCCAGGATCTTACCCAGGACAGACCATACCCTGGGGAGCACCACGGTCCAGCCACCTCGTGGCAGGAGGGAGACCCCGCTCATGGGCTCCTCCGCACCGAGCTGCCTCCTCTGCAATAAGCAAGAATCTTGAGTGAGCCACCATGACGTCACCTGGCCAATGCACGCTGGGAACACGGAGACTCTGGCTCTGAAGCCAGCTGTGTCACACAGGCAGGCTGTTTTACTAACCCATTTTCTTGTCAACAAGGACAGAAGTTGACAACTCCCCTGGGGGCAACACATTCTCTGTGGCACGTGGGGCTCTTCAGATCATTTTCTGTACAAACTGATGAAACTACAGCGGTTAGAGGAGCTGTGTCTTCAGCAGGACGTGGACTCTGGGACAGGGCTGGGAGCAGGTGATGCTGGACAGGCAGTGCCTGGTGTGGCTGGGGGAGGAGCACCTGTGGTCCCCCTACAAAGGTAAGGTCCAATTTCCTCCCTACTCTGGCCCCTGCACCCATAACTGGGGCCCACCTCAAGCCAAGGGACCTCAGATGGGTGAATACTGGCAAAGAGGGAAGAACAATTTCAGGAAAGGGCTCACAAGAAAGTGCTCCCACCTTTTCTCCTCTCCTGTTTTTCTTCTGCTCTGCAGCTGCTGACCACCGAACACCTGCCAGGGGCTGAAACGAGGATGTCCATGAAGGAGGACTAGTGCTCTCCTCTCTGCCAATGCACTTCTGAGACGGCATCACGCCTTGGGACCCCAGTGGCTAAGGATCTGCAGAGGGGAGAGGAGGGAAGCGCTTGGTGAGAAATGTCCCACAGAGAGGCCGGCACAACCAGCCAGAGCTTCTCCAGACACAGCCCATGCACGCTGCCTCCTCCTCTGTCCAAGCCACACAGGCCCAGCAGGGAGCCGCGCACAGGGCGCACTCACAGGCCAGCCACCAGCTGCCAGGAGGTATCCAGAAGGTGCTGAGAGGGCGGAGGTGTGCGAACGCTCCAGGGTTCGGCAGGGACGGCGCGGACCCTCCAAACACGGGGAAGCGCTTTCAGCAGCTGCTCTCCCTGCACTATCAATGACCAGGGCACGGGCAGCCCACGATCACTTTCGAATGCAGGGGCAGAAAAGGACTGAAGAACAGAGGCCAGGCTCAGCTGAGTGTCCATGCACAAGCCCAGGGCCCTGAGTGCTATACAGGCCTCACTTCCCATCCACGTCCCATCCACTCCACCTGGGATGCCCACGTACCACATCAGAGTGCCCGGTTCTGGTCCAGCTTCCCCTGAAGGTGCATCCTGGCAAGCAGCAGGTGACGGCTCTAGTAGTTGGGGTCCTGCCACCCACGTGGGAGAACTGGATTGGGTGCCCAGCTCCTGGCTTCAGCTTGGTCCAGTCCTGGCCATTGCAGGAATATGTGGAGTGAACTGGCAGATAGACCTCTATCCACCTGTCTCTTTCAAATAAAGAAGTAATTCTTTTAAAAAATGAAAAAAAAAAAAGTGCTGGTGCTGTGGTGTAGCAGGTACAGCCACCGCCTGCAGTGCCAGAATCCCATATATGCGCGGGTTCAAGTCCCAGCTGCTCCACTTCTGATCCAGCTCTCTGCTATGGCCTGGGGAAGCATAAGATGGCCCAAGTGCTTGGACCCCTGCACCCTCGTGGGAGCCCCAGAAGAGACTCATGGCTCCTGGCTTTGGATTGGTCCAGCTCCTGCCATTGCGGCCATCTGGGGTGTGAACCAGCAGATGGAAGACCTCTCTCTCTCTCTCTCTCTGCCTCTCAAATAAATAAATATTTTAAAAAAGATGAAAAATTACCTTAAAAAATTCCATCTGTGCCCATCGAGTCCACTGGCTTCTGTTTATCAACGTCTGATAAACATGCCTGAATCAGTCATTCATCTCACAAATACTGAGTACGCCCAGGCAGCCAGCACCCTGGGCTTAAAAACAAGGAACCCAGTCCAGGCCCCTGCCCTCACAGCACTCCTTCAGGCTCCCCACTCTACAGAAACGGCAAAGCTCAAGAGAAGCAGGGAACCCAGCCGGGACCTGACCTCAGCTCCTTGTAGTCCCCAAACCCAGTCCCCCACCTGCTCCACCAGGCCCCAGGCTGTGCAAGACCCCTCCCGGACGGTTCCGTTCCCAGAACGGACAGGCCAGGCGTCTTCAAGGTGCTCGTGAGCAGCAGCACGTACCTGGGTCATCCTTGGCCCTGGACAGCCGGAGCCCATCAGGGAGTGCGCGTGCGGACTCTGCAGGGGCGAAGGGGCCCTGCCTGGTGCAGAACCAGCAAAGCCGTGGGAGAGTGAGTCTGCAGCTGCGGCAGGAGCAACTAACCGCAGACCGCAAGTACCGGGCGGGGCTTCAGCGCAAGGACCGGACGCGAGTCCACACCGCTCCTCCGGGACCCCGGGAGCGTCTCTAGTCGAAACTTCTGCCAACCGGTGTGTAAAAGGCAGCTTTCCACGCCCGCTTTTAAAGGTTGCGGAAGGGAAAACGAGTGGGCCGTCCTAAAGCCGTGCGGGACATCACCTGCTCTCCAGACAACCGTCGCCTGTCTTTCCGAGTCTCGGATGCCGGGATCGGAGGTAGGGATCCGGGACGCGGGCAAAGCCTTCCTGCGCCGGCTCTCTCCCGAGGACGCACAAATCGCAAGAGGTCTAGCCGGGCGCAGAGGCCGGAGCCCTGTCTGGGCGCTGAGCTCGGACCGGTTCTCCCGCCCCGCTCGGGGCCTCGGAGTCCCCCGACGGGAGAGCAGCAGCATTAGCGGGGGTCCGCTCAGAGAAGACGTCCAGAGATGGTCCTGCGGTGACTCCCCCGGGGCGTTAGGACTGATGGCGAGGGCCGACAGCGGCACGGGTAGGTGCGGTAGACACAGGACCACACAGCGCCCCGGGAAGCGGCCGCCACCGGCTCTGCACCCGCAGAAGCGCGACTGCGGCCTCGGAGGGGGCAGCCCGAGGCAGTGCTGTCTCGGGGCCGAACCTGCGCACGCGGCCCCGCAGCGCCCCCTAACGTAGTGGAGCTGAAATTCTAACTCGCCGCTCGAGTCCTGGCGCCCAGCTTCGGTACTGCTCAACGCCCCACCCATCCACCCCATCCACCCACCCACCCATCCACCCCATCCATCCATCATCCATCCAGATCATCCACTGAACTACTACTTCCTGTGAAGGACTGGAATAAGCACTGGAGATGTAGTGCAAAAGACAGACATGATCCATAATTTTTTAAAAAAGATTTATTTATTTATTTATTTATTTGGAAGGCAGAGGTAGAGAGAGAACTTCCATCTGCTGGTTCATTCCCCAATTGGCCGCAACGGCTGGAGCTGGGCTGATCCAAAGCCAGGAGCCAGGAGCCTCTTCTGGGTCTCCCACACAGGTGCAGGGGCCCAAGGACTTGGTCATCCTCCGCTGCTTTCCCAGGCCATCAGCAGGGAGCTGGATCAAAATGGAGCAGCTGGATCTTGAATCGGGGCCCATTTGGGATGCTGGCACTGCAGGCAGCAGCATTACCTGCTATGCCACAGTACCAGCCTCTCCCTGATTTTTAAAAAAATATTTATTTATGTATTTTTGAAAGTCAGAGTTACAGAGACAGGGAGAGATACAGAGATCTTCCACCTGCTGATTCACTCCTCAGATGGCCACAACGGCCAGGCTGGGCCAGGCCAAAGCCAGGTTCCAGGAGCTTCATCTGGGACTTGCACATGGGTGCAGGGGCCCAAGAACTTGGACCATCTTTCACTGCTTTCCCAGGCACATTAGCAGGGAGCCAGATCGAAAGTGGAGCAGCCAAAACTCCCACCAGCACCTGTTATTATACCACAACTCCCAGCTTCCGATACCTGATTTTAAATTGGTTACATTCCAATCAGAATAATAAACAAGTAATTCAGCAAATGCAGCAATTGAAATCAGGGATTGATGTTTGGCACTGCAGTTAAGAGGCACTTGGGACACCCACATCCCCTATCAGAGCACCTGGGTTCAGTGTTCAGCCCTGGCTCTGCTTCCACTTCCAGTTTCCAGCTATGTGCACCCTGGGAGGCAGCAGGTGATGGCTCAAGTGGTTGGGTCCCTGCCACTCCCAAGTGGGAGATGTAGCTTCAGTTCCCTGCTCCGGGCTTCTGCCCCTTGGCCATTGTGGACATCCGGGGAGTGAAGCAGTTGATGGGGGCTCTCTCTCACTACCTGTCTCTCTCACCCTGTCACACTCTCTCTCAAGTAAATTTAAAAGGATTGTTGAAAGGATTCCTACACAGTCTCTGGCCATGTGAGAGCAGAGAAGATGGCCATCCACCCTGACAGGGAAACTGGGTTCTCACAAGACATCATACCTGTTCGTGCCTTGATCTTGGATTTCTCCACCTCCAGAAATGTGAGAAACAAATTTCTACTGTTTAAAAGTTACTCAATTTGTCACATTTTGTGATAAGAGCCAAAATCAATGAGAATATCAATCCTATAAGATAAATGCTATCATTATCCCATTTGCTGATGAGGAACTTTTTAATGGTTTATTTATTTGGAAGGCAGATCTACAGAGAGAAAGAGAGAGGGAAAGAGACACACAGGGAGAAAGTTCTTCCATCCACTAGTTCACTCCCCAGAAAGCTTCAACCAGGAGTCCAGAACTCCATCCAGGACACTCCCATGTGGGTGCAGGGACCCCATGATGCAGGTGCAACACCCTACAAGCTCCCTGATACCTGCACCCCCTTTTTTCCAGCAGCACTCACCACCACCAACCTTCCCCCCTTCACTGGCTAGGGCCCTACTTAGGGAAGCTCACCCTGGAAAGGGCCAGGATTCAGACAAGAATCCCAAGCAGTGGAGACCATGAGGAGCAGCCTGTGTATGCTCAGCACCTCCCATTCAACCCTTGAGACAAAGGACTTCAGAGGCAGGTGACCCCTCCCAGACACACAGGAAGAGCAGAAGCACCAATCTTTTGGCTCAGAAAGTAACTTTGAGAGCTGAGAGCTGGAGCATGAAGATCATGGCATTGAAAAGGTCTTGGAGTTAGGGCTGCCTTCTCACAAAGCCCCTGTGGCTGGTAAACTTTTCTCTCCCCCGATTATCTTCTGCTTTACTTAATGAGGCCTGGAGGGAACAGTCTCTCCAACGTGTTCGCTCCAGAAATAGTCTCAAAGGCCTTTATTGGAAGGACCTCTAAGGATTAGAAGATGTAACATAGGAGTTGCTCTGCTGCACCACAAGTGGCTTACTGGGAAAATGCCTTCTTTCTTTTAAGTTGAGTATTTTCTATGGCATCAGCTTGGCCAGTCATCCCCAGCATCTCTGCTTATGATGTGAATAGCACTTCCGGGAGTTGTGCAGTACGCCACCTGCACAATCGTTTGTGGCAGTCCATGCGGCAGCTCAGTAACACCGAGAGGCCCCCAAGGGCTAAACTGGCCAAAGCTTCCATCAGGCCTCAGTCCCAGCCTGCAGGCACCTCGGCCTATTGCTGCCGAAACACGCAGTAACAGAGGAGCAGTAAGAAGATGAGGAGGAAGACGGACGAAAACAACAAAACAGTCAGCATGGTGATCAGTCGTGGGGTGGGGATGGGACCCGGAGCTCCCGCAGGCCTCACGTGGTAGGTTGCTGACTTCCTGCCTGGACCCGGGCACCACCCCCTTGGAATAATCTGTGCAGCCAGCCACAACTCCATCCCTGAAGGGCCACAGGGCTCTCTCAGCCACTGTGACGTCACAAGCTCCCAGATGATGGAACTTTGACCTCCCAGCCACAGCCCAGCCCGGTGTTAATGCAAACAGTATGTTGAATGTCAGACCCAAGACATTTCATCAGACATTTCTCCCATCTCTTTACCCTTCAGATTTGCTGTGTGTTTCTTTCCCTTCCGTCAGAAAAACATCAGGCAAGCCTCATAATTTTTCTGATTGTTTTCAGCTAATAAAAAGTCTTTCAATCACCAGCAATGGAAAACATGGTTTCCATTCAACTGTTTGAAATGCCCAGTCTCATGCATTAACCACAATTTCTGTGATCATTTGTGGATGAGACTTCTCTCTTCTCCCCCAGTTGGGGCCAAGCACAGGGGGGCTGCCATCTGTTGGGGGGAGGACATAGGTCTTCTTTCTCTTCCAAATGTGTTTCTCTACCAGAGCTTTCTGTCCACTCACTCAGTCCCAAAACCTCCAGGATCAAAACAGATGGCACAGGGGCCAGTGTAATGACACAGCAGATAAAGCCACTGCCTGTGATACCAGCATCCCATATGAGCACCAGTTCGAGTCCCAGCTGCTCCACTTCCAATCCAGCTTCCTGCTGATGCACCCGGGAAAGCAATGAAAGATGGCCCAAGTCCTTGGGCCCCTGCACTCACATCAGAGACCTGGAAGAAACTCCTGGCTCCTGGCTTTGGGCTGGCCCAGCCCCCACCCACTGGGGCCATTTGGACGGGAGATCTCTCTTTCTGTTTCTTTCTCTCTCCCTCTCTGTAACTCTGCCTTTTAAATAAATAAAATAAATCTTTAAAAAAAATGATGGCATCAAGAGAAATTTGGAGGGGATAATTCTCTCTTATTAGAACTCTTGAAAGAAGTCAATGCTTTAAATATTTTTTTTATTTATTTGAAAAGCAGAATTACAGAAAGAGAGGGAGGGATGCAGAGAGAGAGATCATCTATTTGGTTTATGCCCCAAATGGCCACAATGGGCTGGGCTGGACCAAGCTGAAGCCAGCAGACAGGAACTCCATCCTGGTCTCCCGCATGGGTAGCAGAGGCCCAAGCACTTGGGCCATCTTCCACTACCCTCCCAGGTGCATTAGCAGGAAGCTGGATTGGAAGTGGAGCAGCTGGGACTCAAACCAGTGCTCCGATATAGGACACTGGTGTGGCAAGCAGTGGGCTCAACCTACTGCACCATGGTGCTGGCCCCAAAGTCCATGCCTGGGATCTTGCATGCGTTCTCCAAGATTCCCATCCTGAGACTTTTTTTAATGTTAAAATTTTTATTTTATTTCAGAGACAGAGACAAAAATAGAGAAAGTGCTCCAATCAGTGGTTCACTCCTCAGATGCCCAGGGCTAGGCCAGGCTGAAGCCAGAAGCCAGAAACTCAATCCGCATCTCCCAGGTGGGTGGCAGGGAACAACTACTTGAGCCATCACCCGCTGCTCCCCATGGTGCACATGAACAGGAAGCTGGAATTGGGAGTGGAACTCCAACCCAGATCCTCAAAAATGGGCTATGGCTGTTCCAGCTGCTGGCTGACCTACGATGCCAGACACCTACCTCCTGATGTTTTTTGCCCCCTACTGATGTGCACAGTACTGCTCTAGGGATCTACTTACCCTACCATGTCCCTCCTGGGCAGGACCTCCTGGGTGTGGATTCTCCACCTTCTTCTTTTTAAAACATTATTTCTTACTTATTTATTTGAAAGGCAGAGTCACAGAGAGGGACAGAGAGAAAGAGAGGGGAGTTGGGGTGGGGGGGGATGGAGGGGGAGAGATCTTCCATCCATTGGTTCACTTCCCAAATGGCCACAACAGCTAGGTCTGGCCAGGAACTCCATCCAGGTCTCCCATGTGGGTAGCAGGGGCTCAAGCACTTGGCCATCCCCCAGTGCTTTCCTACGTGCATTAGCAGGGAGCTGGATCAGAGGCAGAGCAGCCAGGACTTGAACCAGCACTCACATGGGATACTGGCAGGGCAGACAGTGCCGTAAACAGCTGCGCTGCAAGACGGGCCCTAGGTTCTTCACCTTTTGAGTCTTTGACTCAGGAATGGGTCTGATTCCAGGCATCCGTACTCGCCAGCCCCAGGGACAAATATCAAGTCCCCGAATGACCTTCTGAAGCTCCTCCAGCTGAGTGGATGTGAGATGCAGCCATTCACTCCCCAAAACCCACAGTGGTTAGGGCTGGTGGAAGCCAGGAGCGGAGAACTCAATCTCAGTCTAGGTTTGCCACGCAGGTGACAGGCACCCAACGACTCGAGTCATCACCTGCTATCCTCTTGATCTACATTGGTAGGAAGACAGATTCAGGAACCAGAGCCAGGAATATTACCAGGTACTATGACACAGAGGGTGTCTTACCCTCTAAGCCAAACGCTGGCCCCTAAACTCATACTTTTAGTTCCATTTCTCATGAAATTTTCAAAGTCCCCTAATACTCTGTGAACAAAATTAAGCAAATTCATCCCCAGCTCCTCTCTCTGTGCTCATCTTCTGACTCCCATTCCAGGCTATAGCCCAGATACCTCAGTTTGGCCATGTCCAGAGAAATATCTGCGTAAAATTCATTCATTCACTCAGCTGTGCTAACCATTGAGCTTTTGAACATGGTAGTGGAGACAGGACAGGAGACAGGACAGGAAAAAGTCCCAAACAAACACACTCCACGTGCTCATCCCAGTGACAGCTTCTACCGTAGTAGACTGACCGACAAAATTCCGAACTGTGTTTGGAACTGAGCCCTAGTAGCCCCGCGGATTCAGAAATTAAGTTCCTCCACGCAAGGGGGCGCTCCAGGCTCTCCGCTCCACGTTGCGCTCCGCTGAGGCGCCGCTCTAGGCCTCAGCCCGCGCTCTCAGCTGTACTTCCGCCCGCGCTGAGCAAGTGGAGCGCTTCCTGGGCGCGTGGCTTTGTTCCCTTGCAGTGCCTCGCCATCTCCCGGAATCCGCAGACATCTGGCACACTCCTGCGCTGTGCTCCCGGTCTCCGCCGTGCCTGGGGTCAGGCCGCTGAGGTGAGTGTAACAGGGTGACTCAAACTTAAAATTTCCCACAGGATATCACATACCCGGGTGCGGTTATAGGTTAACTCACTTGTTTGCTTCAGGGCGGGAGCTGTGCCTTGGGGATAGACATCGGTCTGCTCAGCCGGCGGTAACCGCCGTATTTCTGGCTTGTGTACTCTTGCTTGCTTGCTTGATAGCGGCCAAGGCCACCAGGATGTGGTTTCTGCCTTCAGACACTGCCCGCAAGTGCAACTGGGGTTGTCTTCTCCGGACTTGTCTGCGAGACAGGCAGCCGCCAGCTGGCTAACAAAGACTCCTAATTTGATCTGAAAGGTCTCCTGTGCGCCCCACAGCAGTGAGCACCGCGGGGGCCTTGGCCGCGAGTGGGGCGGAGGGCCTGCCCGAGCAGTGCTGTGGCCCAAGTGCCCGACTTGGGCCTCCCGCGATCGCTGGACAGAGACGCTGGGGCGAGCGGGGCCCTCGGCCGACCAGGCAGGGAGGTAGATAGCTTTGACATCTGCACGCAGCGCTGAGGCGCGGGGCAGAGACTCGGGCTGTGTAGACACGTCTTCCTGTCCCAGGGAGGGTGCCGCCTTTAGAGTTGCCAGGGCCGGTCCGATCCAGCCATAGAGACTGTAGGGCCGCCACAAAACAACAAACACCGGAGTAAGGGAGAGGGTTTATTGGGGGAAACCCAACAGACTGGAGGGAAGGGGCGAAGAGGGAAAAGAGGAGGGGAGCATAAGAGAGACAGAGATCAGGAGAAGGAGAGAGCCACGTGTCCAGGAACAGGCCCTTTTAAAGCTTAGCCACGTGTCCAGGAACAGGCCCTTTTAAAGCTTAGCCAGGGACGAGCAGGGAAGTAGCAGTGAGGAATTGAGCTTAAAATTACAGGTCTTAACCTCCTCCCTCCGAAGTTAAAACTGTGAGCTCCAGGTGCAGCTATAAAGATAAGGACCCAAAACTATGTGACC